TTTCACTAATGATATGGAAGCTTTTCCATTATCTCTTTCCACAAATGTAGTCAATTTTATTTCTGTGTATTCCATCTGGTGAGGTCTATGTGTATAATCACATATTATGCTTTCTAAAGAAGGTATTTGAAATGAGTAAATCATATATATATATATATATATATATATATATATATATATATATATATATATATATATATATATATCCAGTGAGATGGATTGGCAAAGTGGCAGCGTCAATGGGCTCAAGTGTGGCAACAATTGTAAGGTTTTTGAAGTGTTCAGTAGCAAATATTTATACTTGAGGAGTAAGGTGCACTTGACCCAAGCCATGGTATTTTCAATAGCCTAATATGCATGTGAAAGTTGGACAATGTATAAGGAACACAGTAGAACTGGTGTTTTTAAGTTATGGTGTTGAAGAATAGCATTAAAGGTACCACGTGGTGCCAGAAGGACAAATAAATCTGTGTTAGAAGAAGTATAACCAGAAGGCTCCTTAGAAGCCCACATGGTCAGATTTAATTTATCATACTTTGGACACATTTTCAGGAATTAACAGTCCCTGGAGAAGGACATCATGCTTTGTAAAGTGGAGGATCATAGAAAGAGAAGGAAACCTCCAACAAGATGAATTAGCACAGTGGCGACAGCAATGGACTCAAGCATAGCAGTTATTATGAGGATGGAAAAGGACTAGGAAGTGTTTTGTTGTGCTATGCATAGGGTCGCTATGGGTCAGAACCTACTCAACAGCACCTAAGAGCAACAACATGGATGTTTTCCAAATAGTTGGCCAGGAAGCTGTTTTCCAAAGTTCTTAGCATAGATGAGTTACATCAGTTTGTTGAAAGTTTTCGATTTGTATCACATCAATTTCCCAACCTTGTTCTTTGCCAATGTCTTCAGTGTACCGTAGACTTCTTCCATCAGTTCATTGACTCTTGACCATATGCTATTTCTTGAATGGTTAAACAATCTCCATTTCATTTTAGTACATTGACACTGTGTATTCCGTCTATTTTTTTTTCCTTCCATCTTCTTTTGATGCTTTCTGCATCATTCAAGATTTTGCTTATAGAATCCTAGAATATTAGAAGTTGAAGTTTTAAATATCAGCAGGGTACCTCAATGGTGGATAAGTTTCAGGTGAGCTCCCAGATTAAGACAGACTATCAATCCATAATTGTCCTTTATTCGTTTGCTGCTCTCAATATCTTCCTTTGCCTTGGGCACTCTGTGATGACTTCTCCCATATAGTGTTGTTCCTTTAACCAAATTTGACACATATCCATGAAGTTAGCAATTCTTCCACCCTCTCTTATCCCTGGTTCCAAATAAGAATGTTTTTTCAATGTGACTTTTTATAACAGTTGTTGTTGTTAAGTGCTGCTGAGTTGGTTCCAAATCATAATGACCCTGTAGAGTGATTCTGTGCTCTTTGATCTTCATCAGTAAATATTTTAAGTCCTTTTCACTATCTTGCTGGTTGTATCATCTGCATTTCGCAGGTTGTTAATGAGTCTTCCTCCAATCCCGAAGCCGCACTTTTCTTCATATAACCCAGCTTCTCGGAAACATTTACTGATGAAGATCAAAGAGCACAGTCTTCGGTATGGATTACATCTCAATGTAAAGAAAACAAAAATCCTAACCACCGGACCAATAAACATTCTTATCAAGGGAGAAAAGATTGAAGTTGTCAAGGACTTCATTCTTCTTGGATCAACTATCAAAACTCATGGAAGCAGCAGTCAAGAAATCAGACGATGTATTGCACTAGGCAAATCTGCTGCACAAGACCTTTTTAAAATGTTGAAGAGCAAAGATGTCAGCTTGAGGACTAAGGTGCACCTGACCCAAGCCATGGTATTTTCAATAACCTCATATGCATGCAAAAGCTGGACAGTGAATAAGGAAGACCATAGAAGAACTGATGCTTTTGAGTTATGGTGTTGGAGGAGAATATTGAAAGTGCCAAGGGCTGTCAAAAGAACCAATAGATCCGTTTTAGAATAAGTGCAGCCAGAGTGCTCCTTGGAGGCCAAGATAGCCAAACTTCGTCTCTCATACTTTGGATATATTGTTAGGAAGGACCAGTTGCTGGAGAAGGATATCATGTTTGGTAAGGTGGAGGGTCAGAGAAAAAGAGGAAGACCCCCAACGAGATGGATTGGCCAGGTGGCAGCATCGATGGACTCAAGTGTGGCAACAGTAGTGAGGTTGGCCCAGAATCGGGCAGTGTTTCGTTCTGCTGTGCATAAGGTCGCTATGAATCTGTATTGACTCCATGGCACCTAACAACAGCGTTTCTGAGAAGTGGCTGGTGGGTTTGAACTGCACTGGTGGTTAGCAGTCCAGTGCTTATTGTACAGTGTTACACCTTGTCTTTTATAATAGTGATCTCATGCAATATTTGAACTTCTGTTTTGACTTATTTAACTCAGCATTATTTATGTTCTCCAGATTTATCCATGCTGGGGAATGCTTAATGCATTAATGTTTATTATTTAAAATTACATTTTATTCCACTGTATGCATAAACCACAGCTTTATTTATTCATTCATTCATCGATGGAAGCTAGGGTTGTTTCCATCTTTTTCTTTTACTCCTCTAGAATATTTATCTAGGACCAGGATTGCTAAATTATATGGAAGAAGTACTGCTAGACTTTTCGAAGTGTGATAAAGTTTTCCATAGTGTTTGTACCATTTTACAGTCTCATCTGTGGTATATAATAGTTTCATTCTCACCACAACCTTGCCTGCATTGTAGTTTTTTTCTTTTTTTTCTTTTTTTTTTACCATCAGTGGCATTAATACCGAGATGAGATGGTATCTAATTGTAGGTTTGATTTGCATCTCTCTAACAGCGAATGGTTGTGATCATCTCTACATCTGTTTGCTAGTATCCTAGTGTCTTCTTTGGTGAAGTGTCTGTTCATGTCCTTTGCCCAGTTTCTAACTAGATTGTTTGTCTTTTTGTTGTTAAAATGTAGATATTAGACCCTTGAAAGATCTGTCACTGCCAAACACTTCTCCCAGTGTGTAGTTTACTTTTTACTCTTTAGTTGAAGTCTTTGATGAGCATAAGTATTTAATTATTAATAGGTCTTATATAATAAACATGAACTCTGGTAGCATAGTGATTATGAATCAAGCTGCTAACCTCAAGGTCAGCAGTTTGAAACAATCAACCATCCAGTAGGAGAAAGATGAAGCTTTCTGCTCTCATAAAGATTTACAGCCTTGGAAACCCTATTGGAAATAATCGGAACTGACTCTATGGCACACCACCACCATCATATGATAAACACGGGACCACAAGGTAACTTTGATCTGGAAGGTCAGCAGTTCAAACTCACCAGCTGCTCCTTGGAAACTATACACAGGACACTATGAGTCAGAATTGACTTCATGGCCACCTGACAACAAGAACAACAACAGATGCCTATTTCATTTTCTCCTACTTGTATATTTTTAGTTATGTTTGATATTCTACCTTTGCCCCAGACTCTTGGTTTGGCACTATACAATCAGCATTGGACTGCAAACCACAAGGTTGGCAATTCAAATTAATTAACTTCCCCTTGGATACCCTGTACACAGTTGCTATGAGTAGGAACCATCTTGACAGCACTTAACAACAATAGTAAAAACTTTTGACCCTGATTTTTCCTCTGTGAACTTTATATTTTTAGATTTAATGTATGTCTTTGATTCATTTTTAGTTAGCTTTTTTGTGTGTGTATTATGTGGGTTATAGATACTGTTTTATTTTTAAGAAATGGGTATCCAATATTGAAAGCACCATTGGCTAAAGAGATTATTTCTTCCCTTATAACAGACTTCAACTGGTGTGGCACTATGGGTTAATGTGCTCGATTGCAAAGTCGGTTTGAACCACAAGGTCGGCAGTTCAAATTCACCAGCTGCTCCTCAGAAACCCTATACGGGGTCTCTATGGGTCAGAACCAGCTCAAGGGCACTTAGCAGCAACCCTGTAGAAGATCAGCTTTACACAATTGGGTAGATTTATTTCTGCATTCTCAGTTCCACTCCACTGATGTATGAGTTTGCTGTTGTACCAACACCAGGCTGTTTTGACTACTGAGGGTTTGGACTGGCTTCTGAGGTCAGGAAGTGTGAGGTCCCCCTACTTTTTTCGTCTTCTCCAATTCTGCTGTAGTTACCCAGGTCCTCTTTCCTTTCCATATAAGACAGGTGATTACTTTTCCATTTTTGTTAATGAATGTTGTAGGGATTTAGAGTAAGATTGAATTCTATCTCTTGCTTCCTCTGGGTTGCATTGAGGAAAAGAAGTAGTGTTAAACACGAAAAACAGAGTGCAGAAAAAAAAAAAAAAAAACTGATTTGCTAATAGAATAATAAATAGAACACTTTTAAACTATTCTCTTGGCCTCAGAAATTTCTATGAAGTATTAGTCAAATTATTTTCTTAATAGTTTAGATAATAGCTAATTTTCTAAGTAACTTGTTTTCTTCTTTTTAAAAGAAAAAAAGAATTTATTGTAAGAACAACTTCAATGTAAACTTGTTGCTGTTATTTTTAAGTGCCATTAATTTGGTTCTGACCCATAGCTACCCTGTATAACAAGGTTTCCAAGGAAAAGCTAGTGGGTTTGAACCACCGAATTTGTGGTTCGCAGGATCAGTGTTGATCCTACAGTGCCATACCAGAAGCCCTCTATAAACTTAGTATAAACTTAGAAGAATAATATTGTAATGCTAGTTTATTTGTATTTATACTGGGAAAAACACCTTTGCTTTTTATTCAGTCTCCCTAAGTTTTCTATTAGATTACTAATAAGTAATAACTAATACTAGCAAACATTACCTGAGACAAGAATGTATTCTACATATTGAATACTTTTGCATCAATAAAGAGAAGCATTCCTAGAGAATCCATTGATTTGACTAAAAAGTTCATTGAGATCATTTAATGCCTATATGATCCTTTAGAATGAACACTTATATGATCAGTGTGGATGCCTGTTTTCTATTCTACCTGCAGTTAACTTTTTCCTCCAGAGTTTTTCCATAGCACTTTTCATTTCAGAATTTCTCAAGGTGTATATTAGAGGATTTAGCATGGGAGTGATAACTGTAAAAACCACAGACACAGATTTGTCAATGGGAAAGTTGGAAACAGGTCTAACATACATGAAAATACAGGGGACAAAAAAGAGGACAACCACTGTGATATGGGAGCTGCAGGTAGACAGGGCTTTGCGCCTCCCTTCTTGACTGTGAGTCTTCAGGGAGTTTAAGATGACCCCATAAGAGATTAGTAGAAGTATGAAGATGATTATACATATGGCTCCACCATTGGCAACCACAGTAAGGCCTATAAAATAGGTGTCAGTACAAGCAAGTTCCAATAATGGATACATGTCACAAATGAAGTGATCAATGACGTTGGGGCCACAGAAGGGGAGCCTGTATACAAAGAGAAGTTGAACCACAGAGTGCAAAAAACCTCCAACCCAAGCCACTACCAGCAATAGAATGCAAACCTGCCGATTCATGATGGTCAAGTAGTGCAGTGGTTTACAAATGGCCACGTAGCGGTCATAAGCCATTGCCACCAGAAGAAAGACCTCAGCACCACCAAATAAGTGTTCTATAAAGAGTTGTCCCATGCAAGCTGGGAAGGAAATGGTCTTTTTATCACATAGTAAGTCTACGATCATTTTAGGGCACGTGGCAGTAGAATAAACAGCATCCATGAGTGACAGATAGGCAAGGAAGAAGTACATGGGGGATCCCAAGGAAGGGCTGACAATAACAGTCATGACGATGAGCAGGTTGCCCACCATTGTCACAATGTAGATGAGCAAAAACATGGCAAATAGTGCTTTTTGGCCGTCAGGATCCTGAGTGAGTCCTAGGAGGACAAATTCTGTCACATTGTTACTCTGTCCCATTTACTCTTCTTCAAGGCCTGTGTCAGAGACAGAAGAAGACCTAGAATGAAAGCATGAACATCACTATGAATGTGTCCATTATGTCACAGAGTCCTTCACCATTAATCTTCTACTGTGACTTATGAATATCAATATTCAGAACTACAGAGAGAAATAGTCATCCTTTCATTTAATAATCCTTTTGTAAAATACTATGGTGTTTAGCACAGAAATCAGCAGTAACAAATTTCTGCTCTCAACAAATTTAATCTCAATCTGTATCAATTGTTGAATGGAAAACCAGATTCTCTATAAACTTTCATTCAAATCACAATAAATAAAAAAAGGAAATGAAAGACATTTGCTCTCTAGTGATGGAGGGAAACTCTACATAAGTAAATTGACATAGTCAATACTTTGAGTTGGCAATCTTTCTGGTGCACAGCCATAAAATATGATCTACAGCGTCCTGGTGAGGCACTACGGGTTAATGCGCTGGACTTCAAGGTTGGTTTGAATCGCAAGGTCGGTGGTTCAAGCTCACCAGCCACTCCTTTGAAACCCTATACAGGGTGGCTATGCGTAGGAACCAATTCAACGGCATTTGACTAGTATCCAAAAAAGCTCTATTCAGGAAAATATCATTAAATATCACAATATTCTACTATCAGATGTTCAGTATTTCTCCCTCAAAAGTTGGCCAGTGTTTATGAACCTCTCAGTTAATTTCAAGAGACTGGACTTTGAAATGTATTGTTGTTATTAAGTGTATTAAATAACTACAAATTACAGTAAATTATTCTCCGTATCAATTATTTGTGCAAATGCAATACTTTATTGTTGTTAAGTGCTGTCAAGTCAGTTCCGACTCATCGCGACCCTGTATAACATTTCCCAGGAGCGGCTGGTGAGCTTAAACAGTCGACCTTACGGTTCAAACGAACTCGCTGTCCAGCACAGTAACCTGCAACGCCACACCAGGTCACCTTCTTAAGAAGCCATAATTTATTCAATTTCTTCTTTTCTCATCCCACAATTCAGAACACACTTCTATTCTCTAGAGAATTGAAGTTGCTAGTATCTATGTTGAGCACTTTTACAGTTATCTAGATTTTCAGCATGTATTTTTAAACCAAAGTTAACTGATGCAAAACAATCACCAACTAGTATATTGTTATTGCTGTTGCTATTAAATGCCTTCTAGGAGCTCTGTTAGCGTAGTGGTTACGAATCGGACTGCAAACCTTAAGGTCAGCGGTTCGAAACTACCAGCAGCTCCGCGGGAGAAAGATGAGGCTTTCTACTCCCGTAAAGATTTACACCCTCGGAAACCCTGTACAGGGTTGCTATGGGTCGGAACAGACTCGACGGCACTTAACAACAACAACAGGAGCTCTGTTGGAGCCTGGTGTGGCGCTGTGGGTTAATGAGCCAGACTGCAAAGCCATTTGAATCACAAGGTCGACGGTTCAAGCTCACCAGTCGCTCCTCGGAAACCTTATACAGGGTCGCTATGTGTCGGAACCGACTCGATGACACTTAACAACAACAACAGTTACTATTAGGAGTCCTGGTGTGGCACTGTGGGTTAATGCGCCAGACTGAAAAGCCGTTTGAATTCCAAGGTTGGCAGTTCAAGCTCACAAGCTACTCCTTGGAAACCCTGTATAGGGTCGCGATGGGTTGGAACCGATTTGACAGCACTTCACAACAACAAGTTACTATTAAGTGATGTATAGGGTTTCCAAAGAGCCTCTGACCTTTTAGGCTTTAGTTTAACAATTCAGTATGTATCCTACAGCACCACATTAGGACTCCAACTAATATATTAGCAGCCTATATTTTTTTCCAAATCACTCAAAGCAAGCTGGGTAGTGAGGGGATAGAAAAGAGACACTGTAAAGACAAGAAGAGTATGATGGAACACGGTTTTATATAGCATGCTTCATAGGCATGGAGAGTGATCAAAATTATAACTTCAATGTCAATTCCAAAAGGAACATACTCCAGGGAAAGTTTCAAACTCAGTGTAAGAAGGTAGGAGTCTTAGTCATTTTCTAAATTTAGTCCCAAATTGGAAAATAAAAGAAATTAACCTAGATAATCTCAGAATCCTTCCCAGTTCAATTATCTATGATGCTATCCGTGAAGCCTTACTTTATTTTATTCTGCTAGATAGTTCTAGGTTTATATTTATAATTAAACAACACTTTCCAAGTTCACTGTTGTTCAAAATGTTAGGCAATGGTGATATTTGATCATTTCAATGGCTAGAGAATGATTAAGATCTCTTTCATTGCATGCCCCTTTATGACCTAGGGCATCTTTAGAGAGAACATTGCATGGTGATGAATGTAGCGTAATCTGGAGCAACACCAGCTTTGCTTGATCCCCACCTTCACTACATACTAATTGTATGAGCTTGGGCCACTCAATCAACCTAAACGTTTTTGTGCCTTATATTCATATTTAAATGGAGACACTAATAGTAGATTCCTCTTACTTATTTTATGTTTTTACGTGCAAAATGCATAGAATACTGTCTAGTACCTGATCAAACATCAATAAGTGATTGCAATTTTCATTTGTCTTGAATATCTCATTGGATCAAAACAAATCATCAGAATCTTTGTCAATTTAATAATAAGTATGTTACTACGAGTATAATACTAATAGTAAATCCTGGTGTGCCACTGTGGGTTAAGTTGGTTTGAAATGGAAGGTCAGCTGTTCAAGTTTCCTAGCTGCTCTTCAGAAACCCTATACAACGTCGCTCTGGGCCAGACTGACTTGACTGCACTTAACAACAACAACAACATATTACTTATAGGAGTCTATATAGCTCTGTGGGTTAAACATTGACTGATAACCACAAGATGTATGGGTCAAGCCCACCAGCTACTCCCTCAGAAAAAGATGAGGCTATTTGGTCCTGGAAAGATTGACAGCATTGGGAATCCTAAGGAGCAATTCTAATCTGTTCTACAGTTGTTGTTGTTGTTGTGCCGTCGAGTTGATTCCGACCCATAGTGACCCTGTATAGGGTTTCCAAGGAGCAGCTGGTGAGCTTGAACTGCCAACCTTGCAGTTCAAGCAGTTTTGCAGTCTGGTGCATTAACCCACAGTGCCACACCAGGAATCTGTTCTACAGGGTCCCTAGGAATTGACATCAACTCAATGGCAGTGGGATTTGTTATTGTCGTTTATTACTTAAGAAAAGAATGGGATCCCTACAACTCATGAACTTCTATGTTTAACATGGGAAAATCTATATATTGTAAGAATTATCTAATTTATCTATTTTTGTGTATGAATAGTAATAGCTACCTGTCATAGACTGTATATTGACAAAAAGTAAGCAGAAAATAGTAAAAACAAAGAAAAACAAAAATGTACCCATGCATCAGAGGGAGACTTAAAGGGTAGAAAAATAAAGAAATGAAGAATGGAAACAGGAAGGAAATAAATTATATTTAAGACATGATTATACACAAGTAATAAGAATACTAATGTGATAAGATAAATGACTGCAAAGTCACTTTGAACCACAAGGTTGGTGGTTCAAGCTCACCAGCTACTTCTTGGAAATCCTATAGAGAGTCACTATGGGTCAGAATCAACTTGATGGTACTTAACAACAGCAATAGGAATACTAATATGGGGCTAGTCTCCTTAAAAAATACTCTTAAGAAAGATTTATTTTAGTGAAATGGTGCTGGAATCCCAGCCTCCTGGGGTTTCCTGGGTTTATTCAGTAGGCAACTTGGGAAAACATAACAAATAAACACAGAGTTCATCCTAGAAAATAAAAAATACAAAAGAGAAGACAATGAAAACAAAGGAAGAGTGAAAAAAGAGAAGAGGAAAGGAAAACAGTGGAGAAGAGAGAAGGGAATAACAGGCAAGGGAAGAGAAAAGGGGAAAATGACATTAAAACTCAAAGCTCAAAAAAATAAAAGGACAAGAATATTGATTCTTTAGAGTCCCTAGCTCTGATAATTAAAGAAAAACTCAAATAAGACAGAGGGGAATGAGTGTGTATATATATATTGCTAACACAAGCTGGACTTCTTCACTGTTGCATAAAATTACAAAAGCACTAAACCTTAAATATAGATATGCTCATTTCATTACATTGATTTCATTGGGGGAGGCTGTGAAGAACATATGCAGATGAATTCTGAGCTTTTTTTGTTTGTTTGTTTAAAGAAAAAAAAGAAAAAAGAAAGTAATGAACGTTCTGTGTGTCCAGGGCATTCAGGAGTCTTCTCATCTTAGAAGCTATAGAGCAATAAACTGTTGAAGACTATAAGGCTATAAGAGAGTCTATATCTAATTATTTTTAATTTTACATTTTCTTCAGTGTCTAGTGTCCTTAATTTTATAATGATCTGTGATGGATTATACTTTCAGAGGTCAGGTAAATTGCATATATCTCAAAAATTGGGTAAGCAAACTATCTAGTGTAGTTTCTGTTATCAAGTATTTAATATTAGGAAAACTGACAGAAAATATTGCTCTCCTTTCCATTTAAATAATTAATTTAACATTTTTTTTAGACAATTGCCATTAACATTTTTATAAGAACATTTTTTAAATAGAAATTAAAATACCAAAGTAACAAAAATACACTGTATGTTGTTGCTATTGTTAAGTGCCATTCAGTTGTTTCTCACCCACAACGACCCTGTATAGAGTTTCCAAGGAGCAGCTGGTGGGCTTGAACCACTGACCTTGTAGTTTAAACTGATTTTGCAGTCCAGCATATTATTCCATAGCACCACACCAGGACTCCATACACTGTATAGTATGGTGGTGGTGGTGGTGATGGTTATAGGCTGTGGAGTCGGTTCCTACTCACAGTGACCCCTTACAGAGTTTCCAAGGCTGTAAATATTTACGGAAGCAGAAAGCCTCATCTTTCTTCTGCTGAACAGATAGCTGGTCATTTCAAACTGCTGACAGTGAGATTAGCAGGATGACTAGAAAGCACTACGCTACCAGACCTCCTTACTGTATAG